ATATCATCTGCATGGAGGGATGTGTGAAAGTGGGTAACTCCTGCAGATTTTGGAACCCAAAAGCCTGTGGAGATTGCTGCAGTTAGGCTGCAACAGAAAAATCCCACACTTGCTCAGAGGCTTCGGGGGAAAAAAGAAAGGAAAAACTAGCCAGTTAGGTAGTGACTCCAGCCACATTCAACTCTGGCCTGTGCTGGTGGATGCAAAGTCACAGACAAGTGGCCTTTTTTGTAGCACGAATTCTAATTGGTCTTAATAATAAAATCCCAGAGTCAGATATCATAGTAAATGCTGAAAGATCAGAGAAGTAATGGAATAATCAGTCACTTCTTACCTCTCCAACTCCTCAGACCAAAAACAGCTGAGCTCCTGTCTTTGCCCACTTTATATTCATCTCTCCTCCCAGCCATATCACTTCCTGTCTCTTGTCTATACAGACCTCCAGACCTCTATGGTTAACTAATGGCTAGTTCTACTCTCTGATCTTTAGGCAAACTTTGTTAGAGCACAAACAAAATATCACCACACCCCAATTTAACAGGAAATAGTCTAACAAGAATATCAGTCCATTTCCAATCCCCCAGTTGTTTATTAATACACAAAAATGGGAAATGTAGGGTAAAAGGGTCAGCCAAAGAAACCCACTCTGGCCATGAAACCAGAGCTAGTAAAAGAAACCCACCCTGGCCCTGAGATCTGAGCCAGTGAATGAAACACACACTGGACCCAAGACCTGACCAGTGAAAGAAACGCTTTATTTAGCCCTGACCCCAGAACCTAAGAAACACACCCTGACCCTGAAACTAGAGCCAAAGAAACACACTTTGGCCCTAGAACCAGATCCAGTGAAAGAAATACATCCTGGACCTAAAACTAGAGCCCAAAGGCTAAAATGGACGAGTGAAAGAAACAGTTTGGCACATTGTGCCGCCCAAACCCACCAAACCCATAATCCTCCCCCTGGCCAACTACCCCCTGCACAAGCACCATTTATACCAACTGGAGAATGAGCAGCCCCTAGAGGCAAAAGCGTCACCTGCACCCATTAGAAGATGAGCCCCCTAGAGGCACAAGCACCACCAATACCAATTGGAAGAAGAGCAGCCTCCCCATCAACAGCCCTCTCCAGCAACATCAGCAGATCTGATAGGCACAAGCGTCACCCACACCAGTTGGAAAAACAAGCACAGGCAAAACCTACACCATTTGGAAGAACAGACTCCACAGGCACAGGCAAAGCCCACACCAGTTGGAAGAACAGAGCCCATAGGCACAAATAAAGTCCACACAGTAGTCAGGAGAACTGGACATATGCTGGATCTAGGCACCCCCACCCCCACAAACCTCAGCTGAGACAACCCTACTTGACCTGACCAGAACCCTTGGCCATTCAGGACAAAAGACAATAAATGAAACAGCCAACAAAGGAACAAAAGACCCACCCAACAAAGACATGACAAGAATCAACTTGTTCCTATAATTATCCCAAACCCAGAATGTTAAACAGCAGTGCAAGAATACATTCAACAACATAAAGAGCAATTTGGTACCACCAGAACCTAGCGATTCTACAACAGTAAGACCTGAACATCCCAGTGCAAATGAAGCAGTAGAAAATGACCTTAAAAATAACTTTATGAAGACCATGAGGCCTTTAAAGTGAAAATGAAAAAATCACCTTAAAATGGAGGAAAAGACAAACAAAAAATTGGAAGGAATAAAACAAACAGGTGAAGGAAACAGTTCAAGACTTGAACTGAAAAGAAGCAGAGCTCTACTGGGAAGCCCCCTTGGGGGCGCAGAGCAAAGTTCAGCTGTAACGTATTGTTATATCCTTCAGGGAGACCATTCCCCACTTTACCCCAGCTTCAGGTATAGCCTGACTTCCCAAAAAATCAGGCTACCTTTCCTTTCAGAACTGTAACATTTGTAGCTGCCAGAGTCTATGCCCTGCTGGTTTAACTCCTGGGGCAAGAGGAGTGTAAATGCATTCTGCTGTTAGTACCTACGTTTGATTAGGAAGTCTTTCCAAGACTCTTCAGGAGACTTTTAACTAGTATATCAAGCTGGGTGGTGGTGGCGCACGCCTTTAATCCCAGCATTCGGGAGGCAAAGGCAGGTGGATCTTTGTGAGTTTGAGGCCAGCCTGGTCTACAGAGCGAGATCCTGGAAAGGCACAAAGCTACACACTCAGTGAAAAACCTGTCTCAAAAAAAAATAGTATATCAAGCTGAGTAGGTGGCACATGTCTGTAATCCCAACATTTAGAGTAGTCTGAGCTACACAGGGAGGTAAGATCAGGGACAGCAAAGAGGGAATCTGTCTCAAACATGACGTGTTTCCTTGAATGCTATGATGGGACCCAGAGCTTTGAATGTGCTAGGCCAAGTGTTTTACCCCTGACCTACATCCCTAGTATCCTGTTCTGCATGCATCTTGACTTGAGTAGTGCACACATGTGGAAGTCAGAGAAGTTGTGAAGAGTCAGTTTTTCATCAAGTGGTTCCTGGGGATTGAGCTCAAGTCATCAGGCTCAGAAACAAGCACCTTAATCACTTGCAGGTATTCTTTTGCTCATTGGTTATGACATCATTTGTTGTTTTGGTATCAGGGACAAGGCTTCCTCATAACAGCCTGACTGGTCTGGAACTCTATGCAAACACTAGGTTGAACCTGCTTCCATCCTTCTGCCTCTGCCTCCTGAGTCCTGGTGTTACATTTGTGCACCACCACACACAGCTGCTTTTGCTTTGGGAGGACATTGTATCAAGTAGCTCAGGTTGGCCTCAAGTTCAGTAATATCTGAGTTTAGCCTTGCATTGTTCCCTATCAAGCTACATCTTCCAGGAATTGATATTTAAATAGTAAACACTGAGGCTGGGCACAGTCACATACATTTTTAATATGAGCACTAGGGAAGCAGAGGCAAACTTGCACTACATAGTAAGCTCCAGGGAAACAAGCAAAAGTTAGTAAGAGCAGTCCTGAAGAAAAAAAAAGAAGAAGAAATACACTGATAATATATTTAGGCTTGTTTTTCAAATATGTAATTACATTTATTTATCATGCCTGTGTATGTGTGCCCTTGTGCACATGGATCATAATGTGGGTGAGTTTGTCACCCATATTGTTACAGCCATTACCTGGGTGTCCCCCAATAAGACTGCAATGCCTGTGGGTCAGTAAAGGACATGGAGAAGAACCACTCGGGGATGGTTTCAGGGAACAGCATCTGCTTTACTGCACATGAGCAGCCACTTACATAGTGGAAGCCTATCGACTATGATTGGTTAGCACATGACCTTAGATTGAAGTCAGCACTGTCATACAACACACCAGGGTCTCTATGCAGAAGGAGCTCACAAAAGGAGACGTGAAGAGTGGACACCTCAGCAGGCCTGCTCCTGGCTACCCATGCTACTTCAGTGTTCACACTTCTGGGAATATTCATGGTGGACCACGCTTGTTACTTAGAGGCACAGTGTACTAGGTAGGCTGACTGCCAGGACATGCCTGCATTTCCCCCTACAGTTATCCCTCTGTATTTTACGTTCCTGAGTACAGAGTCTCATGATCAAAGAATATGATATGCCAATCAATATTATTACTAACTAAAAAGACAATAGCATATATAGGTCAAGTAAGAAGAGCATTCCTGACAGCTAAGCTGATGTCAGTTCCCTCAGCTCCCTTACTGGAACTTCCTTTAATTACATATCATTCATTGTCTGAAAATGGCCCTGATGCATAGTGAGGATTTTGACAATCTATTTAATCTTAAATTCCCTCCATTTCCTGACTGATGAGGACTTATGAGAAGTTATGAAAATTCTAACGTTACAACCTAGGCAAGCTAGCTTGCCTAGGGTAGGCGTTAGTTTCTGCCGCCGCAGCAACAGCAGCCTGCCTCCGCTGCCAAAGCAGTTATGTCAGCGCCTGTCACCAGGTGCCTCTCCACCATGAGCTATGCAACATGTGTACGCTTTAAAAGTGCCCAGCTGAGCACAGCTTGTGTAAGACAAGTTGCTAAATGGTCTCATTAATAAGAAACCTGGAGCCAGATATTAGGGTGAAAAACTGAGAGATCAGGGAATAGGACAAGCCACCGCTAACCTCATCTTACCAACTCCTCAGCCTCCAGAGAGACCTGCTTCCTGCATACCCATGCCTATATGCCTTTCTGTACCTGCCATCTCACTGCCTCCCTCCACTCAACTACATTACTTTCTCTTCCTGCCCAGCTCTGTCACTTCCTGTCTGTTTGTACAGACCTCCAGACCTTTATGGTTAACTAGTGCTGGAATTTAAGGTGTGTGCCACCATGCCTGGCTCTGTTCCCAGTGTAGCCTTGAACTCACAGTGATCTGGATGGATCTCTGTCTCCTGAATGCTAGAATTAAAGGTGTGTGCTACCATTGCCTGACTTCTATGTTTAATATAATGGCTGGCTTTTTCCTCTGATCCTCAGATAAGCTTTTTAGGGTGCATAATATATTGGGGGACACAATAAATCACCATAAACTTGCTCTTATCTCTTGGCTCTCTTCCTCCTTCCTCTCTTGTCTCTCTTATCTTTTCTTTCCTCTCTTCTTACATTGTTTTCTTCCTCCTGTCTGTCTGCTTCTCTCATGTCCCTACTCTGACAGGGCCTTTCACTCTTTTGCTCCCCCTCCCCCAATAAACCTCTTGCATTAACTCTGTTACAAGTGATGTGTTTGCTTAGTGGCATACCTTGGCAGGGCCCACCAAAAGGTACCACTTTGCTTTTCATTTTTTATCCTTACATTGGTTCCGAGACTCAATAGGCTCTCCTGGCATTTGGTCTGGCCACACTGGGATTCTACCCACCTGCTCCATCCACAACAGATCTGCTTTCTCGATCACCAATGGCTTTGCCTTCCATTCATCACTGACGATTGGCTCTCTGGTGGGCCTACCTGCCTCTACCATTTTCCTAGATGTGAGACTTCCCTTACTGAGCACAATCCTCGCCTTCTCACCTTTCTCAAAGTCCTGTTACCAGGTGACTCACTCAGGCTCTTAGCCCTTGGCGCTCATTCTTGCATGATGATGCACTGAACAGCCTGTGCCTTCTCTTCACTGTTCAGTACTCCATGTCCTGGGGATGTTCGAGGCTCTCACATTCTGGACTTCTCTCTGCCTCATCCTTGGGAACTGTGTCAAAAGCCTCCTTGCTCCTGTGGGATGTCTTTTGGAGACCTTCTGACAACTCTTTTCAAATCAAATCTGGCCTTAGTATACCGTGGACCAGGGAGAACTGAGAAAGAATTCTCTACTTTCTTTCTCTTTGCTCCAAGACTCTCTAAATTTTGTAAGTGTTCTGTGGGTATGTTTATTGCAACATGAGAGTTAGAGACAGGGAGGGCAGCTTCATCCTGTTCAGCATACACTGGTTCTCCCCTGCAGTATCTGCTGATCTAACCCTCAGTAATGGATGTATGGATCATCTGTCTGAGTGAATCTAATCCCAAATTTTATAGAGTCCAATTCTTCCGGCATTGTTTTCCACATGGATACATGTGAGTAGCAGGCTGCAGGAGCCAGATAAGCAGCCTGGGAACAGCCTACTGTATTCCCCACTTGGCTCTGGCCCTTGCAGCCTGCTGACCGATGTGGAAACCTCCCTTTTCTTCTGCTCCTTCCGGGCTTTCCCTCACCTGGCAGCCAGACTGCAGATCCACTGTGCTGTCTCCCAGTTTCCGCATGCAGCCCTGAAGTTCACTTTCACTCTCAACTTCCCCTTGGAACTTAAGAACACACTGGTACAGTGTTCCACTTTATGACCCCCTCTCTCTTCCTCCATAGACTCAGATTTTATTACAACATCTTGGCCTCAGTACAAGTCAATGGCCAAAGTTGGCAAATGTAATTTCCAAATTCTCATCAATTATTAATAACTGCTACTGCCACAAACAAATGATCCACAAATACCTTATACATAAAGTTGCTCTGCTATACTTCCCTTACCTCTTCCCACTCCTAAGTCTTTTATCTCTGATTTCTTTGTACTCTGTTCTCAAAAGAAAAAATAATGTTAAGATTATGCTGTAAACTCTTATCTCAGGATTTGTAAATTGCTCATTGGATATGGTTTAAAATCTGTATCATATGTAACAAAATTTAGCTTTAAACTTATAATGAAAGGCTTACAATTAAAATTCTACACATGGATATATATATGTATATATGTGTGTCTTGTTTAAGTTATATGTATGTATGTATATCTGTACATATGTGACTTAGATTTAACTCTATATGGGTCAATGTAAGCTGGATTTAAGTCAGTGTATATGTGTATGTAACTTGGATTCAACTCTGTGCATGTAACTTAGATTTAACTATTGTTTAAGAAAACATTTTAAATAGTAACCATGTGGCTTTCCTCCATTTGGCTTGTGACTTTGTCAGGATGTAGGCAGCCACATGGCTGGCAATCATCTTTACTAAAATTAAAGCATATATATCATGTGACACTTCCTAGTCCTAATGAGCTCTCTGTTCATGGTATTTCCTTTTAGACTAAGAAAGCAAGAAGTCTCAAATATTTTGGACTGGTACAGACTTTCGTATGATGATAGAAATGTAAGGTTATATTTCTTACAACATACTGTATATGTGATTCAACTCTGGTTTAGGATATACTCTATCTATATGTTAAAAGTTTTAGGTTATAAAGGTCTAGTCAGAGTAACAAAAGCTGATTTAGAAATTTACACCTAAGTATTTATGTCTTTGCCAAGTGTTCAACACCAAATTTCTACAGAATTTAGATTAAGTGGCATCATATATTTGATAAATAAGATATATTCTATAATGGAATGTCTGGTCCCCTGAGAAGGTCCTTTTCCCAGGGCTGGACATTTGAGCAGGGGCCCCAATGGCTTGTCAAGGACAGTGCTGGCCTCTGGGCTCCCTCAGTCCTTGCCCACAGGCCCCACCCCAACTCACATGCCCCTTTTGTCCTGTTCCCATTTGGCCCTGGGGATCTTTCCCACCTCTTTTCTTTGCCTTCTCAGGAGACAGGCTTAGCAGTTTGGAACAAACTTGTTCCACTTTCACCCACGGGATGGCTATTGTGGTTCCTTTACTGAGCCCATTATCTGTGATTTAAAAGTTTTATCTTGATACGAGAAGAACTTCCATTCAAAATCATTATTTTTAAGGCTAAACTTAACAGGGATGGAACATAAAGTCCTATTCTTAAAAAAGCTACTAACTTATTGTAAACAACTAAGGATCATTAAGAAATACAGGTTAATGGTCAGTCACCTTTAACAGAAATGGAATGTAAAGTCCTAGTCTTATGAAAGCTGCTAACTTATTGTAGACTGTGAAGGAACACAAATTAATGGCCAGTCATCTCATAAATGATCAAATTCTTTAATTATAGTCATGCTAAGTACTAATATAATTAATTACAGGGATAAGCCTTATTTAGCCCCCTGTATATGTTTTCAAAGTTAAGCTTAAAACAAGTAACTAGGGCTGGAGAGATGGCTCAGAGGTTAAGAGCACTAGCTGTTCTTCCAGAGGTCCTGAGTTCAATTCCCAGCAACCATATGGTGGCTCACAGGCAGGCATCTGTAATGAGATCTGGTGTCCTCTTCTGGCCTGTAGACATACATGCAGGCAGAACACTGTATACATAATAAATAAATAAATCTTTAAAAAACAAGTAACTAGAAACCAGCAAAGTTTGTCGATTCAGATACCTAATAAATAGACAGTTCTTATATGCTTCCGAGATCTGCAGAATATGGCACTTAAAATGTTTAATCCTTTTTTTTGTATGATAGATATGTCGGCTCCTGGCAGCACCCTGTCTTCTCCAAAGAAGATGGACAGGCACAGAAGATCTTCCTCCTTGAGCTTGCTTTAAATGTGGCAACACTGGCCACTGGGCAAAAACAAAACAAAACAAAACAACAACAACAAAAAAAAAAAACCAACTGCCTTTCACCTCAACTGCTGCCAAGATCCTGTCCAGACTGTGGACAATCAGGACACTGGAGAACTGATTGCCCCACTTTGCCTAGGCAAGGTAGGCTGGTCGTCCGATCCCCAGGTTCCTACTCCACAGGAAAGTCTGTTGGATCTTCTGGGTCTGAAGACTCGTGCTGCCCTGAAAGCTCTGCCCCCAATGACCATGGAGGGCCCTGGGGTGGCTGTCTAGGTAGCCAATACACCTGCCATTTTTAATATATTCGGAAGCTGCTCGATCTGCACCTCTGCTTACTCGGGTGAAGTTTATCCACAGAACTCTGGTGTGTGACGACTAGGCTAGTCATAGCTTTGTCAGCTTAACAGCCGCAACCAAGTTATCAGCTGTCTTCTCAGTTCTCTTTGTGCGTAAAATCCAGGCCCCAGGCCTCTCTCTCCTGGAGCCACTACTCACAGTTTACCTTGTTACCAGACTCAGAAAAGAGATAAACTCACAACAGATTTCAATGTAACTTTTTACTACTCCTTTATTTACAAGAACTCACTCTATAATGATTGCCCACAGTAATCAACCACATGTGTCTCCTGGTGAATTCGACAGAAGAAGGTGTTTTAAGGTGTAAAGTTTACGTAAGGATATGAAAGCTTAAGATGTGAAGATCTAAGAAAATGTTTTAGGGTCTAAGGTGTTTTAAGGTGTGTAAATTCAAGTTATAAAGGTCTGAGGATGAAAAAAGCTTAAGTGGTGATAAAAAGAACGTGACTTAAGGTGTATAAAAAATGAAACATGTTTCAGATTTCTTTCTCTCACTACTCTGTTGTATTAAGATGCCAAAAGTCCTTAGTCTTAACATTGGAATTCTGATAAGCTATTGATCTAGCTCTGGCAAAGCACCACTACTTTTATCATAGTCACAGGCTTAAGATTTTAAATTCCCTTTGGTTGTTTTTTAAGTATACACTTAAAAATGTTTCTCGGGGCTGGAGAGATGGCTCAGAGGTGAGAGCACTGACTGCTCTTCCAGAGGTCCTGAGTTCAATTCCCAGCAACCACATGGTGGCTCACAACCACCTGTAATGAGATCTGGTGCCCTCTTCTGGCCTGCAGTCACATATGCTGTATACATAATAAATAAATAAATCTTAAAAAAAAAATGTTTCTCATTGTACTAAAAACATCTGTCTCATCTATACACACTCAGTCTTCTGGTTAGAGGAAAGAGTGTTCATGCATTTAACCAGAATCACTTTTGGGTCCCCTATGACTCAAAGGCATGAGTCTACTGCCTTATCTACAATGTGGATTTCAGTACAGATTACAAACAGTGGGAATGCTAATGTGCCCAAAACTTATCTCTTTGTGTAAACTCAAAAAATTCTTGTAAGCTCCAGGGAGTTGGCTTGGATCTACCTCAAACATGTCAAATGAACTCCACATAAGTACTATCAATCAACAGCCTAAGTAAGTGTTCCCACCTACTGCCTGTTCCTGAGGGCGGAATCTCTCCTACCTGTTCCTGGTCTTAGGACTCCCTTTCCTCAATTACTAGGGCTTAAGAAAAAAACTTCCCCCTAAAACTTTTTAATTTTATTTTCTGCCAGCATCCTGCCAGATCTCCTCAAAATCTGCATCCCAGACAGCTTCAAAGTGGCTAGCCCCAAGTGGTCCAACCTCACAAACTGCTTCAACCTGGCCTACACTTTCCTAGCACCAGACAGTACCACAAAGCCTGGACAATGAATGAAACAGCCAGCTATCCCAGGACTTGGCCAGCATCTCAGGTCTCCCATATATGCCAATGCCCCCAGAGAACAGGAAGCAGTCTTGAGAACAGTGCCCTTATTCCCACCTCACCAGCTAAGCCTTCCTATTTCCTCACTTTTTTATAATAAACAAAAGGGAGGAATGTTAGTTTCTGTTGCTGCAGCAGCAGTCTGCCTCTGTCACCAAGGTAGTTACATCCTCATCTTTCCACTGTCAGATATATAACACATGGACCCTTTAAAAGTGCCCACCAGAGCACAGATCACTCTCGTCTCATGGTTCTCTTGCCTCCTCCTTCCTCTCTTGTCTCTCTTGCCCATTGTTTCCTCTCTTGCCTCTTACTCTTTTCTTGCCTCTTGCTCCTCTCTTCTTCCTCTTGTCTGTCTGCCTCTCTCATATCCCCACTCCAAGAGGGCCTTTCATGCTTCCACTCCCCCCACCCCAATAAACCTCTTGCACTAACTTTGTGGTATGTTTGCTTAGTAGCAAAGTTTGGCAGGGCCTGCCAAAAGGTACCTGCTTCACCTTTTATTTAAATTTAGCATTACAGCACGAAAATGGAATTCATTTACCAATTCTTTCTCAGTCACATGAGTTTCGCTCACTATTTCTAGTGCTAGTTCAGCAAAACCAAAATATCTAATACCTAATTATGCACTATCTACTCTATTTAAATCTCTAGAAGGTGAGATGACATTGAACCGTCCTTGTCCATTATCTTGAGAAGAATATTTGAATCCAGACTAAAAATGGCTACTCATTTCTACCTGAACTTGGAAAAAAGAAGGTGGAGTCACATGCTAATGGTAATTATATAATGGCTGGACAGTTATTGACAGCTCGTGAATGGGCCCAAGTTGTATGTGGTACTATTGTCAAAACTTGTAAACACTGCTAAAAGGACCAGAAAACAGAAGGTCATGGTAGGCTGAAGACGACTTTCCCTTCCAAGGTGACACTGCTGGAGTCATGTCTCTTCATATTCCATCACAGGGAGCATCTGGCAATTTCAAAGCATAAGCTTATGTTTATTTACACCATCTTACTTGTTAACATAAAAAATAGTCATGATAACTACAATCAAGAATTCTATTGCTCTTTTTGAGGGTGCATCAAGTGGGTTCTATTTGACTGCCAAATTTACGTCATTAGAAAAGTAAAGTTAAGTAAAAGCATCTTCCCATGGTACTGGCTCAGCTTCAGAATCCTGCAGTGCCTTCAAACAAGGCTCAGCCATCAAGACTGGGTTCTACTCTTGCAGAGGACCTGAGTCTGGTTCCCAACACACAGGATGGTTAGCTCACATGCCTATAACTCCAACAGATATGACCCTTCTTTTGGCCTCTGAGAGAATTCAGCATGCAGAAACACACATTCAGGCATATACATAACAAACATAAACAATAAAGCTTAATAGAAATTGAAATAAAACCGTAGAGAAAGAGCCACACAATATTAAAAAGAAGCATGCTATGAACACAGTACATTTACTTGAGATCTAGAAGGCAACTTTTTTCTTATTAACCTATCACCTTATGATATTTTATTTAAATGTTGCATATGGCCAGGTATGGTAGCTTAGGCCTTTAATCCTAGACCTCAGGAGGCAGAGGCAGAGGCAGATGGACCTGTGACTTCCAGGCCAGCTAGGACTACACAGTGAGACCTAGTCTCAAAAATTAAAAAAAAAAAAAAAAAAAGTATATGTAAGGAATGGAGGTGACAGACAAATTCTTTGTTCTAGAGAGACTACTCTCTTCAATATAATTTCTGAAGACTATTAGTATATCATTATTTTCTCACATAAATGATCCTCATAATTATTTGAGCGCTTTTATATTGATAAAAGAATCAACTTTTAAATGTTTGAAGAAGTAATTCTGTTGTTTTAAAAGAACAGAGATTTAATACTTGGATTTTTGACTGGAGAGATGTCTCAGCTGTTAAGAGCACATATTGCTTTTGCAGGGAGCTTAATTTTAATTCCATAACCTATATCAGGCAGAGAGAACTTGCCACACACACAAAAAAAGTGCACATTTATAACTTTCTTTAAGGTGTTTTGAGATGGGCTCTCACTATGAAGCATTAGCTGGCCTAGAACTCACTATGTACTGTTTAAGAAAGAAAAAAAGAGATCAACAAAACATATGCACATGCAAATGTGTTAAAGACACAGACTTTACGCCCTGCACAGAATTAACTTCAGATGGACCCTATGCCTGAATGTTCAGGGCCAAGAAAATAACTTATAGAAGACACTAGAAAAACCAGGGCTCTGTGAGTTAGCAAATCTGCCTTTCAGGCGACAGTGAAAAAAGCGCAATGCACCCTCTCTGCATGGTGACATCACAATATGGAAAGAACCACCCATAATCCACCCATGCTCGTATTCTCTGCAGGCGCAGGCCACAGATGGAAGATACTCAGGGGCCACAAGTCCCAGGAGTTGCAAGGACAATAAGGACCTCACGTGCCTAATGGGGCACCGCAGAGGGCCGCTCCCACAGCCCTAGTAGGACCCCCACACTGGCTCCCGGGGCTCCTCCCTCAAATGGGACAGCGGCTCCTCACTCACCATGGCGGGTTCGAGCTCATCCTTCTCTCCTCACAGCTCTAAGCAGCCAGTAACAGCTCAGCACAAAGAACAAGATGAGCCTCCTTCACCGGTTGCCTGCAGCATGGTACCGGAAGTATTCTTTCCATTCTGACTGGCAGTCTATCTGGAAACCCTGATTGGCTACTGAGGCCTGATCGACAGGAGCAGCTGCTTTAGTGTTGCAAAGGGCCTTAGCACAGTGGTTCCCACC